GGGGGAGAGAGGGAGAGGGGGGGGAGAGAGAGAAACATTGATGTAAGAGAGACACATCGACTGGCTGCCTCCTGCACATGCCCCAACCAGGGCAGGGGATTGAACATGCAACCGAGGTGTGTGCCCTTGGCATGAATCAAACCCGGGACCCTTTAATCCACAGGCCAACACTCTAATCACTGAGCCAAACTGGCCAGGGCTGTTTGCCTGAATTGAAATCCTATTTGTGCTTAATGACTGACTTTGGGTACATTACTTCACCTCTCTGTGCGTCAATTCTGTCATCTATATAATGATGAAAATAATGTCTACCTAAAAGGGATTGTTAGTTTATATTTGTAGTGATTTTAAAACAGTGCTTGCGCATCAACCAGGGCCAGGGATTGAGCCTGTAATGGACACACATGCCCTTGGCCAGAATCAAACCCAGGACCCTGGGCCAACACTATAACCACTGAGACAAACCAACCAGTGCTTAACTGAAATTATTAATTGATGCTATCTATAACAGTACCTAAGGAGTCTTAAAATTTGGATCTTATGAAAGCAATTTTTAAAATAACTGACAGTAGTTAAACCCATTCTGTGGACCTAGGGTTGTCTCTAACTGTAATTACTTACATTGTTACTTTAGTAACAGTGCTTATCAAACTGCTTTCCAAAGAGGCTTTACCTTCTTTCCATATGTTCTGCAAATAGTCTGTGAAAATTGCATACTATGGTAAATGGCTTGTGTTTGGTGCTGCATCTGTATTTTCTCTGTGCCTCCTGCTCAGCTGCCTTGGTATTCTGTCTTTGACAATGATGAAAGGAGAGCTTAAGATTCTTTTGATAGGATAAGTAATTTCCACATTGATTCCAACCTGAAAATAGATGAAACATTGTATAGAAACATCCCTAGTCTATGTGAGTTGGGTGGCACTGACCATACTACCCATCTTCAGCCATGGGACTGTGACATAGGCTTAGCCAACCAGGGCTTGTCTTAGGATTTTTGCTGGAACCATTGGGGAAGAGGGCTTCACAATATTAGGACTCCTAGCTTTAGAGATACTGGTAGTCATCTCTGCTATTACATAAAGAAAGTTTGTTGGAAAATCAAACCAATGTTGTACAGAGGAAAGTAGAGGTAAGAGGTAAAGAAAAATGGGTTTCTAATTATATTTTTAACCCATTCATCCATTTCTGAAGCTGAATGTCTCACTTAACGACCCTTCCTGTCACCTTTTAAAATCATGCTTTCACTCCTCTATATATGGAGTCTAAATTACTGATTTATCTATGCTATATTCTATGTAAAGCTTTCAAGTACTGTGTACTTCTCTAGATGTAGTAGCCAAGATTTTATTATTCATAATTTTAATGCCCATATATTTCATGATCACTGTTGTGTTCCACATCTACGCACACTTATTGAATATAAAACAAATGAGTTAACATTTAATATTTATAAATATGTCATATTATAATTGGTCATAACTGATTTTTATGATAATCTGAAAATTATGATTAGCAGTTTCAGAAAAGGCATCTAGTCCAAAGAGCAAATGAGTGAATAAATCATTGCAGAAGAAAACAATTTATACCCAGCATTATTCTGATTAATAAATGCTTTCATATTAGAAAGCACAAAGTTATTATAGGTCTACAGTTCCTTTTTCTGAAATCCATGGGGCCAGATATATATTTTTTTAATGTATCTTGATTTTTGGAAGTATTACAGATATCTCCTTTTTCCTTCCCATTGATTCCTTCCACCCGGCATCTGTCCTCCCAGGTCTGTGTCCATAGGTTATGCATATAGATTTTAAAAATGTTTTTATTGATTTCAGAGGAAGGCGGAAGGATAGATAGAAACATCAACAATGAGAGAGTCATTGATTTGCTGCCTCCTGCATACCCCCTACTGGGGATCGAGCCCAAAACCCAGGCTTGTGCCCTGACTGGGAATCAAACCATGATCTCCTGGATCATAGGTCGACACTCAACCAGTGAGCCACACCAGCCGGGAAGGCCAGATAGATTTTTAAAGCAAGAATTCCTCAGCTCCTCTAAGATCCCTTTTTTAGTCTGGCTATTTGGGTCTCTATTGTGTTGGAGGCTTTCCTCAAATGTTTGTTGATGCTGATCTGTCTATTCATATTTGAATGTATTCATATAAACTTTTCTATATTTTATGGCAAAATTTTCCCCCAACTTTCTTCTTTAAATTTGGTGAATTAATGGGTGGAACAGAAAGTGGAGTCCAGCACTCAGCTGTTTTATCTGTTTTCCTCATTGTAATCCAGAAGATTCTTTGCTGATGAGTGGTTAACACTTTCATTAGCTTTGTAGTTTTCAAAGTGGAAGTATTTTTATTGTTTTTAGTAATTTAAAAAAACTAACAAATCGGTGCTTAAGAGCATTCAAACACTATAGAAATATACAAAGTAGAAAATTAAAGGCTACATAACCCCATTCCCATATACCTATCTGCAGAAGGTATGGGAAGATATATAATACATAAAAAATGAGACAATAATTAACTGTAGGAAAAATGTAATCACAGTATACTTGTTAGCTCAGAAGTGAACTAACAAGTACTTACATGGTCATAAAGTAAGAAATAAATATGGACCTAACCAAAAATTTTAACCTAGCCATATTGAGAAAATGGAGGAAGGCAGTAGGGAGTATAGGAGATGGAAAAATCCTCCTTTATCCCTTTATGAATTAAGTGGAAAAATATATGCATTTTATTTAGGAAAATATATGTACATATGAAAAGAAAGAGCTTAAGTTAGCTGCTCTGGGGAATGGAACTTGGTGCCAAAGGCAAGGCCAATTAATGCTGTTTGGTTATAATCTTTTAGAGGTACTTTATATTTTATGGGAAATTACAATGTATCCAGATTAGTATAAAGCTAAAAGAAATAAGGTGACAAAACACCCATATTTAAAAACAAAATTCTCTTGAAATTTTATTAATATTTAATAACAATAAATTATTCAACTTTTTCACAGTCTTTATGAAGCTTTTGTTTTGCAGATGAAATTTATTTTAAAAGTCCTCATGTAAACCAATCAAGACGAATAAACTTTTATAATGAACTCTCAAACAAATCTTTCTTTTTGTTGTTAATCCTCACCTGAGGATATTTTTTCCATTGATTTTTAGAGAGAGTGGAAGGGAGGCAGGAGAGAGAGCAACAACAATGTGAGAGAGATATCATTGTTTGACCTCTGGCTGGCTCAGTGGTTAATTTGCATCAGAGAGATCCAAATTAAACCGCAATGATGTACCACCTCACACCTGTGATCAATAAATCAACAAACAAGTGCTGGTGAGGATGTGGAGAAAAAGGAACTGCTGGTGGGAGTGCAGACTACTGCAAACCCTATGGAANGAGTGCAGACTACTGCAAACACTATGGAAAACAGTTTCCTCAAAAAATTAAAAATGGAACTGCCATTTGATCCAGTGATCCCACTTATAGGAATATATCCTAAGGTGCCTGAAACACCAATCAGAAAAAATATATGCACCCCTATGTTCATAGCAGTGCAATTTACAACAGCCAAGATCTGGAAACAGCCAAGTGCCCATCAGTAGATGAGTGGATAAAAAAGCTGTAGGACATTTATACCATGGAATACTATGCGGCTGTGAAAAAGAAGGAACTATTACCCTTTGAGACAACATAGAGGGCTTGGAGATTATTATGCTAAGTGAAATAAGTCAGTCATAAAAAGACAAATATTACATGATCTCACATGTGGAATCTAATGAACAAAAGAAACTGACAAACAAAATAGATTCAGAGTCAAGGAAGCATGCATCAGACTGACTAATCTCAGATGGAAGGGGGGGAGGGCGCAGGAAGAGATTAACCAGAGAACTTATATGCATATAGGCATAACCCATGGACACAGACAATAGTGCGGTTAAGAGTTAAAGCCTGGGGAGGTGACCGGAGCTGGGAGGAGTGGGTCAGTCGAGGAATAAAAAGGGACATCTGTAATACTTTCAACAATACATTTAAAAAAATTATTTGGTATTAAGTATTTTTATACTCAAATTCTAAAAGCAATCTTTAGTCCCAACTGAACTTGATACTCTAAGATTTCAAAAAAATTTAATGATATTTACATAGTAAGTATAATTTTAATCACTAAGTTCTTCCTTATCACTGAAATATGTGCTTTTCTTTATCCTTGGGCGTCTTGAATCATCAGATGTTGAGGGACCCCCTGAACTGGGTTTCCATTTTTTTTGTTCTTCCTCAATTTTGGCTTGCTGTAATATGAATCAGAAAACAAACAAAATATTAATTCAAAACAATGCAAAAACACACGTGTCAACACCCCTACCCTCCCAGCCCATGCAAACAATTCTTTTTTTTTTTTTTAAATATATCTTTATTGATTTCAGAGAGAGGAAAGGAGAGGGAGAGAGAGATAGAAACATCAATGATGAGAGATTCATTGATCAAGCCCACAACCTGGGCATGTGCCCTGACTGGGAATAGAACCCGGATCGCCTGGATCCCAGGTCGATGCTCAACAGCTGAGCCACGCCCGGCCAGCCATGCAAACAATTCTACTCCATCAGGATGCTCTGCCCTCACTCCCAAGTTATATTTCAGTCTCACCATGTTACTCAAAATAATTTTAGGCAATTTCTACTAATTAACAGGCCCAGGAAATGAAGCCTACTTTCCAATCCTGCTAGAGGTAGGAATGTTATACAAAATATGACACTAGTTAACTAAAAGGAAAAATAAATTGACATATACATTTACCATTTATCAACTACATTAAAACAAAATATCTGGCTGTATAAAAATTAGGAGATTATGTACCCTTCTTTAAAAAATGTTTCATATATTTGTATTAAGGCCTTTAATGGTCAAAAATATGTTTTTGGTTTTGTTTTGAAGTGAAGCTTCTTTTCAAAGATATCTTTTCAATATCTTTAATAAAACCTTTTTCTTGGGCTAAACTCACTTTAATCAAATAGTTCTGCTCAATTCTATAATGAAAACAAATGAAGGTATTAAAAGTGTTGTGAGACCTTTAAAATCTAGAAAGAAGCAATAGGAACTTTTCCATCATACTGTTCTAAAGACCTTAGAGAAGCAGCCTGTCTTCTGAAGGTTAGGAGGTGAAGGGGAAAAGACAGGTTGCCACAAGGAGATGATCAATTACGTAAGCAAGGAATATAAAACTGTTAATCCAAGGCAGCTATGGCATGGGGCCTTTTAAAAGAACTACTTAGTACCTGGAAAGCTATGGCCTGACTGAGGCTGTCAAGAGCAGGATCCTCCCCTTCATCTTCACTTTCTTCTATTTCTTCACTAAATTAAAAAAAAATCAGAATGCACTTAACCAAAAGTAAAATGACAGAAGCAACACTATCATGTATTTAGTAAGAGTGGATATACATACATTTCTTCTTCTGGTTCAGGAATTTTCTTTTTTTTCTTCTTCTCTTTTTTCTTTGGAGGTTCACGTTCTCCAAGCATATTTTTAGGACAGGCATAACTTAAGTGTCCACTTTCCCCTTGTTTCCCATTGAAAAGGAAAGGAAAAATGATATTTGTTGTTATTAACAGAAACTTGCCTGGTAACTGAAGACTAAAAGGTTTTAGAACTTAAAAAAAGATATTGTCACACTGGGAACATACATAAAGAAATTAACAAAGCCCATTAATATTTAGGAGATTGTAACTCCTAATAAACTATTTAATAAGGGAGTATTTTAGAAGTCTGATAAGAGTAAAAGAAGTATTCTTTCTTCAAACATTTTAAATATCAAGGTTCATGATAAAAAACAATTCAAAATTTAAATGGACTATCTACCTTAAATGTAAAAATTTTAAGTTATTATTTGATAAAATTGGGACAAAACTATTCCTAACTTCCAAGATGTTGCTTAACATCATGTTTTAAAAACAAATGGAAAATTTAGTTTCCTCACTTTTCCTATTAATTTCGTTTTGCTTCTTTCATATCTAGACTATACCTGCACTGTCCAATTATGGTAGCCACTAGCCATGATTTTTTTGTGGCTGTCTGAATTGATATGCACTATAAGGGTAAAATGCATACAGGATTTTGAAGACAATATAAAGAGTATAAAATACCTTAATTTTAAACAATATTAATTACAATAGTTCAAATGATAATATTTTAGGTATATATTGAGTTAAGCAAAATACTTATTATTATTTTCTTTAATATATCTTTATTGATTTCAGAGCGAGGAAGGGAGAGGGAGAGAGATAGAAACATCAATGATGAGAGAGTCATTGATCGGCTGCAGTCCGCAACTCGGGCATGTGCCTGACCCAGGAATCGAACCCTGATCTCCTGGATCCTAGGTCAAAGCTCAACCGCTGAGCCACGCCCGGCCTGGCAAAATACTTAAATTTTATTTGTTTCTTTTTTAATGTGGGAACTAGAAAATTTAAATTACATTTGTGGCTTGCATTATATGCATATTTGACAGTGCTTGGGCTAGCCATAAAATTATAATGCACCATAACATTGAGTTGTAAAACATAAGACAATGTACTATAATCTGCATATTAGCTCATTAAAATACATTTAAGAAGTAATATGTGAGAGCGAGGTGTAATTAAGCCAAAAGGGAGAAATTGAGCCAGGATCAGAATAGAAAGGAAAAATAATCATGCGTTTCAAGAAAATTTAACAAAGCACAAAATGGACTGTGTACTTTGTATACCTGGGGACATGGCTGAATCCAACAGGTGTTATAGTTAATGAACTGCTGAGAGAATGTATTTAGAGAAGCATTTTCCAAACTGTTTTTTAAATAAGGGTATACCAAAAAAATACTAGCATGTCCCATATTAAAAAAAAAAAGGATTTGGTGCCCGTCTGAGCCTGGCTCAGTGGTTGAGTGTTGACCTAGGATCCAGGAGATCAAGGTTCGATTCCTGGTCAGGGCACATGCCTGGGTTGAGGGTTCGATCTCCAATGACTCTCATCATTGGTGTTTCTATCTCTCCCTCTCCTTTCCTCTCTCTGAAATCAATAAAGATAAATAAATAAATACACAAATAAATAAATGGATTTCGTAGTAAAATCATTTTGGGAAAAACCAGGCTAAATAAATGTAAACAAATGTTTTGGGGGGGAAATTTTTAAGAAGTATAAAAATGTACAGAACAAATCTGTGGATTTGATAATAATGTTTAGAAACTAAAAAGACAGAAGAGATTCATCCAGAACTTCTTAGATTATTTAATATTTATTATGAATATGAGGATACATACTAATCTATCTGACCACAATTGTTCCTCCCTCCCCATTTTTTTTCTTTTTAAATAAAACTCAGGACTCTGGAACACCGTTTCTGAAACATTAACATAAGAGCTATTAGAATCACAGGACTTGAAAGAATGCACTCAGAGCCCCTGCTTGCTCTTTCCTTCTTCCCTCCTCCCCTTCTTCCTTCCCTGTCTCCTTCCCTCCCTCTCTCCCATCTGTCCGTCCGTCCGTTTATTAAGTTTAGGGGTGAAGAGTTAGAGAGTGGCAGAGGGAAAAGGATGCCAGCTCATTTCCTTGTATCTTCCACATGATTTTGTAGCCAGGACAATGTCTTTCCCCAGCTCTCCATTAATATCCCTAGACGCTGTTTTTTAAGTATTTCATATAGGCGTTCTGAAAATTGACAGCAATGAGATCCTGACTGAAATTCTCTTGGTACCTTTACTGGCCTTATGCAAAATTGTTCTGCGGCTATATCCCTCTTAATCATCAAAAGATTAAATGGTTAATGATAGATGGTGAGAGCTAGATAAGAAAATTATCTATTTCAGTTACAAAACATTAGCAGTACTAATAGGAAAAACCATTACCAGTACTAATAGGAAAAAAACCCAACTTTTAAAACAGTATTTCATAGAGGATAGGTCATATGATAATGTTTATACTGAACTGTTATGCTTAAACAGTGGCAAAATATTACAGAAACAGGCAACATCCTATTAACAAACTATGGGTCACTAAAATCTTTCAAGACAATAATATAAGTAATTAGTCAATACTTTTTAATCCAACAATTTTCAAAGATTTAGAAACTGGAGAAAAGGTCACTCCGCATCACCCAACTCAGGTTATCTTTATATACTATACTTCAATTGAGTTTACTTAGATGAGTCTAGAGTCTCAAATTAAAACAATTTTCATAATACAGTTTTAGCCATCCAGGAGATTTAGAGAGCACAAATAAAACACTGATGTGAAAATTACCATAAACTATAGAAAATCACATTAAGTTTTAGGTATACTCACCCCACATTCATAACACTTAGATTTATCAAAGTAGTTTCGTCTTCGGATGAACTCAGCTGCTCTTCCATTATCAATAGCAATGCTTGCTTTTATGACTCTACCAAACAGCTAAACCGGAGAAAAATGTAAATGTAGAAGGATGTATTCAATGATCCCATTTCCTCAAACCTTCAATTCCATTCTATATTTTAGATTATTTTAGCAATTGCCTACTTAGGTGTGACAAATTCTACTCAGTAAAATAGATTCTTACTTCCTTTTTCTACCAATGTTTTGGGGACCCAGTACAGTTTTGGTATCTTTTCTTTTCCATAAGTTAAATAATCTCAGAACCTACTGATATCCATCAGACTTGACCACTCACTACATCCTCAAATTTTTGGTCTGGATGAGCACAAAGGCTTTTGGGTTAAAAACTTTGTTGGGAACGAAAGGCTTACCTGTTTGTTGTTTATTGACCTGGTACAGTTCTGTGCAGAGTCTTTATCCAAAAATAAAATAAATGCAACACCTTTACTCTTCCTGGTATCTTTATCTTTCATTATAGTAACCCTTAAAACATAAACAAATAGTTAAAAGTAATGAGGCAGCAATAAATAAAATATTAATAATAACATGGAAGATTCCAGTGTTCAAAAAGGGTTAGTAAAACATTTACAGAGTAAGAGAAATTAATACATTTGACAAATATCTCTTCAAAGTTATGGGATATCAAGAATGGAAATGAGAAACTGTGACACAGTGCAACCTCTGTTCTCAAATTTAATTTGTTCTGGAAGGCTGTTTGAGAAGCGTTTTTTGAAAACCGAGTAATTTTTCCCCATTAGAAATAATGTAAACTGAATTAACCCATTCCAGATCCCCAAATGATTCCCCGTTTTAACCTTCTTATATACAGTACATGTCTAATGTACTGCTTAATCTATAAACAAACACTTCTTTTCTTAAATTTATCAAACCACTCCCTACTAGCCTTAAAGGAATCACTTTCAGCACTCTGTCCAGGGGTGTCTTTCAGGTCAGCAAGCAGCATCTTTGCTTGCTGATATATCACTGCCTCAGCAACGGCTGTCACTTGCAAAGGGCTTTTTGTTTATCCAATCAACAGTTTTTCTACCTCTTCAATTGCCTGTGATCATCGTTTCTTTCATACCCTTAGCAACATTAGCACTCTTGATGGCCTATTTATATGAATCCTTGACTTCCCCAGCTACAGGCAACAAAAGCATTCTCTTCTTTGTTTGTTGCCTGAGAGACCCTTTTTGTCATGCTGAGGTATCAGCTTGAAAGGGTTGTCAGTTCCAAAACTGCAGTTTTGTTGTCAACTGAGACATTTTTTTTCTGTGAACTTGGTCGGGAACCGAACTGTTTGAGATGGGAGAAGTTCGAGAAACTAGGTTTCACTGTACTGATGAACACAGGTATGATTAGGAGTATCTGATAAATCAAACTGTAATCAGACACTTAAGGATGAAGTAGATATTACAGAGACAACGTAACCTCAAAGAATAAGCATAATTCCTTTGCTCTACTAACTGTAGAAAACCCCCCCCACAAAACTGAGGTATTCTCTTCTACACAAAAAGTAATATGATTTATTTTTTTCTAGGTTTCAGAATTTAACCGTATTCTTAAAATTACTTTAAAGACTCTCTAGCTCTGTGGTTCTTAGCCACAGAGTACCACCCAAAGTACCTAAGTGAGAGGAATGGTGATAAGAGCAGAGTCTGCTATTTCCCCTGACCTCTTCCACATCCTTAGTGCTTTTGACTCTTGTCATATGTCATTAAATATAGTTTAAAAAACAATGTGGAACCGGCTCTTTGGAGAAGTGGCTGATTCCATGGCTGGGATAGGGTAGGTGTAGGTGAACTATTTTCTTTAACTAGAAATCCTTTCTCCTCCTTTCTGCTAGCCTCTACTGAAAACTATGTAAAAAAACATGCCTCATCTCACATATTTTAATAAAAACTGCTTTAAGGTGGCATCTGCCAAGCCTAGCTCAATATGTTAAAACAGAAAGATACAAATGGGGAAACTAGTTTCTCAAGAGAGTGCATCTATCTGTTTATTCATGTGGTTGGTCACTCAATTAGCCTCAAGCCCACGCACTAAACACTCATAATATAAGGGCAGTAGGATAATGTTACTACTTCATTTAAAATTCTTTAATGGATTCATGTTGTTCTTAGGATGAAAACCAAGTGTCTTGCAACATGGCCAAAAGGCAAGATTAGGAACCTGCTTCCATCTCTGGACCTATCTTGATATTTCTTCCTCTTGCTCACTCATCTCTAGTCATATCGGCGTTCTTTCTTTCTGTTCATGATCTCGCTTTATTTTCTCTTGCCACAGTGCCTTTGCACAAGCTGTTTCCTCTACCTAAAATGTTTTTTCCATTCTTTTTGTCTACTTAACTCTTACTCAGTCTTTAAGTTTCAACTCAAAGGATACTGACTTAGGTAAATCTACCCTATCTAGACTAGATCAGGTCTTCCCTGTTATAGGTGCTTATAACTCTGTGTCTTTAACTTCATAGCATTGTCATAGCATACCATGAGAATTTATAATTTATAATTATGTATTGGTATGGAAATTCATTAGGAGGTTCTGACAGACAGGAACAAAAGAAGAAAAGGTAATGGTAGAGTAAACGGAGCAGGCTCTGGAATCAAACTGTTGGACTTAAATCTTGTCTCCACCACAAACTAGCAATATAATTTTAGGTTTACTGTGTGCTTCAGTTTTGTCATTTATAATACCAGGATAATAACAGTATTTATCTTAAAAGGCAGTTGTTAGAATTTAATTGAGTCTTTCAAAAAAATTGTTTATACATGTTTATATTCATAGAAAAATGACAAATATACAGGGTGTCCCCCAAAAATGTATACATATTTTAACAGCTGATTGCTCAATTTTGAAAATGAAATTATTTTAATAAACACTGCCTTTATCATTATTCAAAGGGTGTGTGTATATATATATTTTGGAACACCCTATATGTAAAAATGTTAACAGTAGTATTTTTATTTACTTTGTTATATCAAATATCTGTTTTATAAAATATAGTAAATCTACTTCCATTAAAAAATAATGGAGAAGTAAATTCAGATAAACTTTTAAATGAAGTTTCAAAGTTTATGTGAATACTTACTTTACAACTTTGCCATACTTGGAAAATATCTGAAACAAAATACCACATAGTAATTTACAATTTAATTTAAAAATCACACAAAAATATTAAATTTTCAGGTTCTATACACTGATCACATTCTTTGTTATTGTTTATGAAAAATTTTAGCCCTTAGTCTATAAGGCAGATCCTAGAAGATATATATTTTTAGTGACAAGAATAATATTTTAATTTTTGTTATTGGAGTCACAGGTATCTGTCTTATTTCCTAAATTTCTGACAAATGAGTACATAAGAGGAAAAAATCACCCCACTCTTCATGTGTGGTAGATTGAAAGCACATACATTGCACAGTTGCTGTGTTCCTGTAGTATATCCATGGCAACTATCAACTGTTCCATAGCTCCAGAGAAACCTTGTATTTCAAATAACAATGTTGTATAATATAGTTACTCCTAGCCTACTCCCACCCAACCAAGCAATCAGTTTCAGAAGACAGATCTTTAGAGTGCTTATAAAACAAAACATAGCCCAGCCAGTGTGGCTCAGTGGTTGAGCATTGACCTATGATCCAGGAGATTGTGGTTTGATTCCCAGTCAGGGCACACGCCCGGGTTGTGGGCTCAATCCCCAATGGGGGGCGTGCAGGAGGCAGCCGATCAATGACTCTCTCATCATTGATGATCCTATCTCTCTCCCTGAAATCAATAAAGACATATTAAAAACAAATAAACAAAACATAAAACAAGAAAGCTTCTATAATGAAAAATCCATTCGCATCAGTCTCCTTCTGCCCACCCCATATGTTGGTGAAACTTTATAGTTGACCCTTTCTTCTCTTTTACTTCTACATCACCACACTAAGCAATCTCACCTATTTCTGTTTCAGACAATACCTATATACTAACAGTTCCTATTATATAATGCTTCTTAAAAAAGTGTTTTAGAATACATTAATATATGAAAACAATAATAATAAATTTTTAGTTCTATAAGTAACTTGTGTAATGCTGGAATGTGATATAACTGGATTGCAGTGCTAGCCACACTGAATTCTGAAGACGAATTCAGAAAGCTTTCCATGTAACACTTTCAAAAGGCTTCTCATTTCACTCAGAGTCCTTACCATTACCTATGTAGGCCCTATATGTAGGGCTTACCTCCGACAGCTCCTCCTCTTCTCTCCAGTTGATTTACTTTGTACCTGAAATGCTTATCCCTTAGACATCTGCACAGCTGCCTCTTCCTTCCTTCAGGTCTTTATTGAAAAATCACCTCAATAAGGCTTTAAACCACCCATGAAAAATTTCACCTCCATTCCCAACTTAACATTTAATAACCCCCCTTTCCTGCTTTATTTTTTCTCCTTAGCACCTAACATCTTAGCATTAACTTTGTATCTAACAAATAACATCATTTGATTTTTTAATATTTTACATTGTCTGTCTATCCTTATATTGTGAATGCCAAGAGGGATTTTCATCTTTTGTTTGCTGATGTGTTCCTAGTATCTCTAACAGTGCTCAGCATAAGTAAGTGTTCAATAAATACAGAAATGTCTCTTCAGATAAAGGGTTAATATCCAAACTATATAAGGAACTCACACAACTTAACAAAAGGAAGACAAAAACAATCCAATTAAAAAATGGGCAAAGGACCTAAATAGACACTTCTCCAAAGAGGACTTACAAATGGCTAATAGACATGAAAAAATGTTCAATGTCGCTAATCATCAGAGAGATGCAAATTAAAACCACAATGAGGTATCACTTGACACCTGTCAGAATCGCTACCATCAACAAATCAACGAAATATAAGTGCTGGCGAGGGTGTGGAGAAAAGGGCACTACTATCTAGTACACTGCTGGTGGGAATGCAGACTGGAGCAGCCACTATGGAAAACAGTATGGAGTTTCCTTAAAAGATTAAAAATTGACCGGCAATTTGACCCAGTGATCCCACTTCTAGGAATGTATCCTAAGGAACCCGAAACACCAATCGCAAAGAACTTATGCATCCCTATGTTCACAGCAGTGCAATTTACAATAGCTAAGATCTGGAAATAGCCCAAGTGCCTATGAGTAGATGAGTGGATAAAACAGCTGTGGCACATATACACCATGGAATACTATGCAGCTGTAAAAAAGAAGGATCTTTTATCCTTTGGCACAGCATGGAGGGAACTAGAAAGTATTATGCTAAGTGAAATAAGCCAGTCAGAGAAAGACAAATACCACATGATCTCACTTATATGTGGAATATAATAATAAAAAAACCTGATGAACAAAACGCATCCAGAGATAGAGAAGCATAGAACAGACTGAGGGATCTCAGAGGGAAGGTGGGGAGTGGGGAGTGGCTGGGGAGAGATTAATCAAAGAACTTATACGTTTATAAGCATAACCCATGGACACAGACATTGTTATCGGGAAAGCCTGGGGGTGGGATAGATGTGGGGTAGAGGGGATCAATGGGGATAAGAAGGGGACATCTGTAATATTTTCAACAATAAAGAAACTTAAAAAAAAAAAAAAAAAAAAAAAAAAA